AAAACCCGCTGCGCAGTTTCCGTGTCCTGTGTTTGTCCACGTGTCTTTCCGTCCAATTGCTGCATGTGCGCGTGTGTGTCAATCTTTACTTGCCATGCTGCCGGTGTTGCCAGTAAAGCCTGAATCGTATTTCTTTTCGCATACGGGGAGACGCGTCGTATCGCGCAGAAGTTGCCTTGAGCTCAACTTGTCTGGCTCATCGCGGTCAACCTCTGCATCTTGGTGTTTCCCTGTACGTGATTGAGTGTGAATCAAGCTTAAACATCCTGAACCGCTGCTCATGTGTGTTGTATGTGTGCCTGTGTGTGTGTCCGTACGCTCGTATGTGCATCTGTTTGCTTGTGCGTGTGTCCTTGTTTCGTACGGGTAGATCTGGAAGCGCCGCGTCCACTGCCCCGGCTAGCAGCAATACTGGTGCTATCCCTGCCTCGGCCACTAGTAGCAATTCTTCCACATCCTCTGCCGGTAGTGCTGGCTCATTGAGCAGCGGAGCTATCGCAGCACCGGCCGCGGCAATGTCGCAAACGGTCGGCGTTGTCAAAGGCGATCATTTTAGCATAGATTTGAGTGGTCCGGAGTTCACCGTAGATCCCGGTCTCGTTCCGCCGGTGCAGCTGAAAAATGCCGGCAATGTTGGAGAGCTTGTACACCCATACTCGGTACCCGAGAGAATTTCTGCCCGGTATGTTTTCAGTTTTGGTGGTGGTGGTGGTGGTGGGGTTAGGGTGTGGAATTATGAAATTTATGCCTTTCCATGCTTCGTTTTTCTCTCCAAAAAACTGACTTTTCAGCGAACTGACTCTCTTGGTGGCGCGCACAGCTGTTTACTCTCATTTCAGCTCACATCGATGGCTTGAGCTCAGCTTTCCCAGGAAAATCCAGTTCTTTGCGATTAGACAAAGACTGACTGAGCGGCGACGGGGGTGGACACGAAATGACGATTCTGACTTGTCATGAATTTTTCTTGATGCCTTCGCAGTATATCGGTGCATGCCAGGGGATTTTCCCTTTGGCACCGACCATGCGTTATGGGCATCAATGGAAGCATGTGCATCTCAGCTTTGCAGCACAGTTTGCATCTTGAAAATCGGTTGAATTTGAGCAAGAAGCTGAACAAAGTTGCGAACGTGTTGTAGTGCTGTTCCAAGGCATGGTGGAATAGTTTGGAGAGGGCGTGGAAGTGTGCTTACTGAGCTGAGAGCTACCAGGATGGATTCGCTTGGTCCTGATCTTTCCATCAAGCCCAGGATGATGGAAATCCATCGAGGTGAACTGAAATGAGAGTAAATTTCGTTCGCAGCTGCACGCGAAACTCAACCAGGAGAGTCAAGAGCTCTGCAAAGTCAGTTTGCTGGAGAAAGGGGAACCAGCATGGATATGGTTAACATTTAGAGTGGCTAACTAATGAAGTGCCTATTTGGGTGACGAAACTAACAAATTGTATTTTTCACTTCTCCTCTAGATTCACACACATGCGCACAGACACACGTGGGCACACACACACACACGCGCGCGCACGCACACACGCACACACACGCAGACGTGCACAGCGTGTCTTTGTTTCAATTTGCTGCGGACACTTCCCGTCCTCTCGAGTGGAAAAAACCCTTATAAATGTATACCTACTCCTGTCGATGACGATCATGATGATGATGATGATTATGACGATGTGCCATGTATCTCTTCGCGTCCTTAACCCCATGCAGGCTTGGTAGTCGTCTCCATGGTATATCCAGCACAGCCGTTGCGTCATCGTTCTCACACATGACATCGTCACGTCCGTCGTCGGCGGCGATGACATCGTTGGTATCGCCGGCAAGAAGCGGCGCACCCGTCACCTCCACGCCGATCTCCAGGCCCGCTTCGTCAGCTGCTGCTACCATGCCGGCGGCAGACCAGAGGTAGGCCGTGTGTTGTTGGTGACACGGATACCGCTGTGTGCACCCCATATATTTGAAAATCAAAAGCGATGTACAATGAAACCTGTGACTAACGACCACCCCTTGGGACCAGAGAAAGCAGCCTTTAGTGGCAGGTGGTCCTTAGCTAGAGGTTTGCACCGCTCAAACAAATGAATGTGAGACGGTCCGTGCCTGGCGAAGTGGTCTTTAGTACCAGGCTGGTTGCGAGTCACGGTGGTCTTTAGTTACAGGTTTTACTGTACTTCGAAATAGCCACTGTTTAGAAAAGAACTAGCCGAGTGTGGGTGTGTTCATTGGATTGACATGCTGGCACTCTAATGATTGGTGTCTCACCTGTACAGATTTGGTTTTAGTGTGAATTCAACAGTACATCCTGAATTGTATAACCCGTGCAATTCGTCATCGCCACGTTTGAGGTCGGGAAAGTCCAAGGATACAGAGTTTGACTTTCTAAGTTAAAGGGGAAGTTAAGGCAAAAATTAAAATTTCACCAGTTGTAGTCTTCGGGGTGCTGAGTCGAATGGTCGTGGTCCGAGGAAGCTGAGACGCTCCCTTCCTACTTGAATCCCAATCGAACTCGCGCAGTTCCACCGAAACTAGGTGACTGCGCCCTACTAGATGGGGATCTGTATGCAAAATGTCACTAAAAGCGCCATTTCGTTCTTATAAAAGCACGGATGACCGCGATTGGCCCATATGTTGTAGTCTTTAGGACGCTGAGTCGACTGGTGTTGGTCCGAAAAGGCTGCGATGCAGCGTTCCTCCTTTATTCCCAATCGAACATGGTTGAACAAGCGGTCACGTGCTCCTGCGTACGCCAGTCACCTGGTCACCGTGCCTGCAGGGTACAACTTACTAGCCTGTTTGACCTCTTTTGGGTGCAGTCCTGTCACTCGAGTTGAACCTTGGTGTGAAAGTTGTCGCCTGCTGGCGTGGTGACCAGGTGATTTGGGCACCCATGAGCATGTGACCGCTTGTTCAACCTTGTTCGATTGGGAATAAAGGAGGAACGCTGCATCGCAGCCATTTCGGACCAAAACCAGTCGACTCAGCATCCAAAAGACTACAACATATGGGCCAATCGCGATCATCCGTGCTTTTATAAGAACGAAATGGCGCTTTTAGTGGCATTTTGCATACAAATCCCCATCTAGTAGGGCGCAGTCACCCAGTTTCGGTGGAAGTGCGCGAGTTCGATTGGGATTCAAGTAGGAAGGGAGCGTCTCAGCTTTCTCGGACCAAGACCATTCGACTCAGCACCCCGAAGACTACAACTGGTGAAATTTTTAATTTTTGCCTTAACTTCCCCTTTAACAAGTACAGTGAACTTCGCGTATATCGACACTCGGCGGGGCATCAGAAAAGTGTCCTTATTCGCGAAGTGTCGTTATACCCGAAGTCTCATTATATGTATTACAGTTGGATGGGACTTTGCTCTGGGCATGGAAGTTCTGTCGTTATTCGCGAATTGTCGTTATATCCGCAGTCGTTATTAGCGAAGTTGACTGTATGCCATGGCAGAATCTATGGAGGAGCTGCAGGTCCCAAACCCAGATTTTTCAAATTTCAAGTTGAGTTTTGGAGCCAGAGGGGCTATTTTGGATGAATGTAGTGTATTGCTCTCCCTGCGGTTAAAGGGGAAGTCCGGTGAAAAATTTAAATTTCACAGTCCGTAGAGTTCGGGGCGCTGAGTCGAATGGTCTTTGTCCGAGGAGGCTGCGGCTTATGGTTCGTCAGATACGCCCAATCGAACATGTGCGAATTTGAGCGCGCATCACCCAGATCCAGGTGATGACGTCACAGCGTGCAGCCAGGTAGCCACACCATCTAGTTGTGTACAAAAATGGCCATATTCGGAGCGCGTTCGATTGGGGAACCGTTTATCGCAGCTTCTTCGGACCAAGACCATTCGATTCAGTGTTACAAACACTACGTACCCTGTGATTTTCAGCTCGGTAAACCTGGAGGTTATACCGTATTTTAGCCGTTTCCGAGTTGGACTTTTCCGTTAGCCCGTCTACATGGTCTATGCGCTCTCGCTGCGTGCATGCAGTGCGTGCAGTGTGTTATCTAGCTGTAGTGCATGCAGTCAACAAACTCATGTCGCAACTCAGAACTGACACAAGACTCAGAAAACTAGTCAACACACGGACTTGTCATGTACTACACTCGTATCAGTCGTATTGTACAGTCATGTAGTCAGAGAACGTGCGTTTCTCCTTGCCGGTGCCGGTGGTTGTGCTTTGAGAAAGAAAATTTTAGTTTTCCGCACCCGCGGCGCCTCATTATTTTATGCTACAGCGATGAGTGCACAACCGTGACAAGTGACAAAACAGCGAACAGCTCTCGGACCTAGAACTTTCAGATTCCATAGCGTTGCGAGCGAAGAGTCGTGCCCGTGGTTCAAAGAGCCTGCACTGTTCTCCAATTGAGTAGTCCGAAATATTCCAAGTTCGCACCAAAACATCACCATGTGGCAGGCTACTGGAGTCTAAGCGAATCTAATCGGTATGGAACAACATTTAGAGCACTCGCATCACTCTTCTCCATTTTGGCGACCCTGCTCTCCAGCGATCTGATAATTACATCAGCCTCGTCTGCAATAGCTGCTGCTTCTTCATCAGTCGGAAACTCAGTAGCGCTCACTCTTGACCGGCCCGCGCGGCCATTTCTTCAGCTGACTACCGAGGTTCTCAGCCCCAGACCGAACTCATGAAGGTCAGCCATGGCTGCATCCTCACTCTCACAAGGAGTTACATGTCTTCGGGGTCGCTTGCACCACCTAATATCAGTCGCCAAATCATTTGAAATAGCACTGACACTATTGCTTTCACGCACTCCTTTTGACCTAGCTGCACGCTATGACGTTGCAGAGGGTGTGGCGCGGCCGCATGACGTCATGGCGCAGCCCCCGAAACTCAGTTTTTGAAACGGAAATATCTCGAGAACGCTTTGTCGGAGACACGTGGGACCAACACCATTCGACTCAGCGGCCGAAACTCTACCGACCCTGAAATTTAAATTTTTCACCGGACTTCCCCTTTAACTCTTTGGTACGCGTGCATGGGGTACATGTGTGTGTTGTTGTGCATGGGCGTACGCTTTTCTGCATGCAGTGTGCGCTCCGAGAGTGTGCGTTCGTTCGGCATGTCGTCGTCCAACTCGCTGACATCCTCGGCTAACACCAGCACACGGCCAGTGACTACGCGATCGCCATCCTCACTGGATAACCTACTGCGTCAGCTGACCAGCGCCCAGCTGCCCACTGCACTGCAGGCGTTGAAGGAGGTAAGGCACGCGTGCGCACGCACACACACGCACACAGAGACAGACACACACGCACGCACACACACGCGCGCGCACACGGATACATGCTGAGTGGGTGGACATGTGATACCGGCATCCGATATCAGGCATGAAACTCTAGCATGCGTTTGATATGTTTACAGTCTTCCCCACTGGAATCCCCAGCCATGTATGATGTGTATACTAGAGATACATGTACTTCTTATCTTTAGAAATGCCTGCTCAACAGCTTGCTCAACAGCCTGGTCAACTGCTTTGTCATGTGTGTGCTCATCTTTCTGTTTGGTTCGGTCACAACAGCTGGAAAGTCAAATGCAGATTCCGGAGGTAGTCGATGCATTGTCCAAACGTGTCGATGATGTAAGTTACTGCCGTTCTGTGTTGCGGCTGTGTGTTCGTTGACAGATTGTGCACGTGTGTGTGTGTGTGTGTGTGTGTGTGTGTGTGTGTGTGTGTGTGCATTGCATGAATGGACCTGCTTCATACCATTAGTGTTTTCTTTCCTAAATTTCCTTTTTTTCTCTCTCTCTCTCTCTCTCTCTTCCCTCTCTCTCTCTCTCTCTCTCTCTCTCTCTCTCTCTCTCTCTCTCTCTCTCTCTCTCTCTCTCTCTCTCTCTCTCTCTCTCTCTCTCTCTCTCTCTCTCTCTCTCTCTCTCTCAGGGAGACCACTCTTGATTGGCGCTGAGCAAATGTGACGCAATTGTGTTCCTGTACCTATACGCGTTTGTACTTGTGTGTTTGCTCTTACCAGCTTCTGCTGTCACTGGCCCAGCAGTTACAGATAGCCTGCAGTATACACGCTCTGAGAAGCAAGAGTGGCTCACCCGACGATGTAAGTACAGTTAGTGCTGATGCTGGTGTTGGAGGGGTACTGGGGTCTTGCTGTTGCTGTTGCTGCTGTTGCTGTTGCTGCTGCTGTTGCTGTTGCTGCTGGGAGTGGTGGTGGGGATGGCTGTGGTGTGGGTAGCTGAATGCTGATAGCTGTGTGGCCTTGCGGGTTACAGCCACGGGCTATAGAGATCGTTTGCACTCGGGGATGCAACGAGTATGAAACGAAATCCCTACTGCACTATTTCTTCTTCAAAAATCCCCCCGTGCTCTTCCCTGAACGTCCTAGACAACCTGCCATAGAAATGAACAAGGAGAAAGCAGTTCAGTTGTCAGTGCACAACTGCATAGCCACTTGACCTGGGTTTTGTTCAGATCGGTTGTGTTTTACATGTACGTAGTGCGTAAGGCCCCTAAGGTTACCGAGAACCGCGAACACCATTTATGGATGCAGGGACCCTAAATTGAATGTCATATAAGGATGCGATGAAACGTAAATGTGGCTTTTGAATACGGGAAACCCTATGTATGCATGAGATAAGGTTTCAGGTTGCCATATACATCCATGCATTATGATACATGTACGGGGGGGGGGGGGGGGGGGGGCATGGGCATGGGTGTCACACAAGAGTAAACTGAGGTTTTGTAAACTTGGAGCATGGTGAGATGGGAAGTGGAAATAAGAAGTGGAGGGGAGAACAGCTGCTGCTGGTCATGTTTAAACTCTTGTTTATCTGTTGTCTGTGTGTGTGTGTGTGTGTCTGTGTGTGTGTGTGTGTGTGTGTGTCTGTGTGTGTCTGTGTGTGTCTGTGTGTGTCTGTGTGTGTCTGTGTGTGTCTGTGTGTGTGTCTGTGTGTCTGTGGGTGGGTGCGTGTGTGTGTGTGTCTGTGTGTGTGTCTGTGTGTGTCTGTGTGTGTCTGTGTGTGTCTGTGTGTGTGTCTGTGTGTGTGTCTGTGTGTCTGTGGGTGGGTGCGTGTGTGTGTGTGTCTGTGTGTGTGTCTGTGTGTGTCTGTGTGTGTCTGTGTGTGTGTCTGTGTGTGTCTGTGGGTGGGTGCGTGTGTGTGTGTCTGTGTGTCTGTGTGTGTGTCTGTGTGTGTCTGTGTGTGTGTGTGTCTGTGTGTGTGTCTGTGTGTGGGTGCGTGCGCGGCTGTGTGTGTCTGTGTGGGTGCATCGCATGTGTGTGCGTGTGTCTGTGTCTGTTTTTCGTTGTTTCTGTGCAGCTGATGAGGTTGCTCAAGTACGTTGTTCACGTACAAGTGCCAGTAAGTCTTGGTAGCACTTCTGAATGCTTGGGAACATGAGGTTCTTGTGCATGTACAGTCAAACCTTCTCCTGCATGTGACTTGATATAGAGCTGGAGATGCAGGATCGACTTTTTTTAACTCTCTCTCTCTCTCTCTCTCTCTCTCTGTCCCACGCTGTAATATAGGTGCTACAACAAGCATCGCTAGCACAGTCCATATCGCGCCGCGGTCTAACACAGCTACTCTGGCAGCTGCTTGCCTCTTTGAAAGACGAGAGTCTTCTTGCGCTGCCGGATGTTTCCCAGCTCCATCGCACGATAAACATCTTGTTTGTGCGATACTTCGAGACCTGTCGGCCTAATGAGACTCTTGGGTAAGCACTGGTGTACGTACGCTCTACTGTGTTTTCACAAATGTTCAATGAGCTTTTATTGGACTCGGATGGAGAGCCAAGGATAAGTGTATAGGAAAGAGAAAGGACCAAGCAGGGATGAATTTATCCTGTATCGCATCGCAGTTTGCTACGCAAAATCGATCTACTGCTACTCAAAAATCACAGTGACACACAGAAAGCTGCGATACATACATGTTCAGGCGATCCATGCCTTGTGTAGCTTACGCCACCATTGAGATTTTGCATAGCAAAAACTGCTATGCAAAAACGTGACAGTAAATTCATCCCTGCCAAGGAACTACTTGGTCCGCGTCAGCAATATTGTCGTTTATCTTTCGACAATTTGTTACTTAGCCTTTGGACATCAACGCGTGCACTTGAAGTGATAACACTTTGTACGATGGAAGGTAAGGTATAGAATGACAACTAGCTATGAGGAATTTATTGTCCAAGGAAGGGTTCATACTTTTTTCGGTCCTCCTCGTCGCTGCTTTCGGCGCTGGTGACAAATATTTTTGCTCGGGATCGACTCTCTTGCTTTTGCAAGCTCATCTCTCTTTCTCTCCGCTGCCTGGCTATTTTCTAAAGAGAAGTCGATCGTGATGATCGCCTTCTCTATAGGACTTCGCGTGGGCAGCACGACAGCCTGGGTGGTTCAAATCAGACGCCGTTCTTTGCAAGATTTTATTTTGAACGACGACGACGCGTACAGTACTTGAAAATCTCCACGATGCGCTGGATACTACGAGTGTTGAGCTGGAGGTGAGGGAGCTGCGATCTCGGCTTCACGAGCGATCCCTGAGGTGAGCGATCTCGGCCGTTCAGCAAAATAGAGCTGATTCCAAGTAGCTGATTACTTTCTTGTGGCTTGCGCTACTCTTGCCTGCACAGCGCAACAAGATAATCTATTTTGATGCGGCGCTGTATCCATCAGAATCACCCACCCGTCGCTCTCGAAATCCACTCGAACTCTAGCTAGACCTTTCAGGTATTAGTAAACTAACTTACTAACCAAAATTGGGATGAAACGGGCTGCCAAGTGAGCATTGGTGACATATAAACAAAGCTGAAAGATAAGCGACGATATCGCTGACGCGGACCGAGTACAAGTTACGCTATAATGTCCACTAACACCACCAGCAGCTACTAAACAATCAGCTCATGCGATAACATTGCACGACACTACTGACGTTCTACAACTAACTGGCTATCAGCTCTGGCACATCTCGGATGCGCACTCTAAGTGGACATTATAGCGTAACTTGTAGTTCCTTGGTCCTTTTTCTTTCCTATGAACTTTTATTTTTGGTACTTTGGGTAATGTTTTTCATAGCTAAATTCCAGTAGTCCAACAATGGCTGACACAGATCATCCAATAGGGAACTGCTACTCTGTACCTACAATTTCTGGTCGCCTAACCGGGTCCTTTGCCCTCGTGCCTAGAATTCTGAGCACCTAAAATTTTCTGAAATTGTATTTGCGGCGTTTCATTGATATACTGGGCTGCGGCTAGTTTTACAGGACTTCTTTCAGGGCACTTGTTAATTTTAAAAGCGTGTCTGACTATCTGTGGATTGTACTGGATCTTCTTGTAGTTGCCTGGGACACATGTTGTGTTCATGTGACAGTTTGAGCACTCTGGCAAGGTGCGTTCGGGCCTGGTTTAAACCTAGCTTTGGAAATTTTATTTTTCATTTCTATCAGGTTCGGCCTCATTTTCTTTGTACTGCGCTGATGATGAGTCCACAAACGACGAAACAATTCTGTCCGCAGATTGAGTGTTCATGTGACATAAAGTTTGTAAACTGGACCGAACTGTACAAGCAATTCTCTGGAGGAAGTGGCGCTGAGAGCTGGACAATAATTGATATGTCGGCTTACTCAATATGTATACCACAGTGACTCTTGCTCTGATTCGATGAATTTCTTCTCCTTTGCTCGATGTGAGCACGAAAACCCGCACAGTGCAGCGTTCTGAGGAAATGTTGTCTCCTTTTGTCCTGTTGTATTGTCGTTCTGGTTGGCTGCAGTTCTGTCATAGAGTTGCTGGGACAATGCTGTCAGGAGGGCAGTAGTCGGGCCAATCTCACTGAACTGGTCCTCAAGGTACAGTGTAGTTACTTGTTGCAGTCTCTCTCTGCTCTCTCTCTCTCTCTCTTTCTCTCTCTCTTTCTCTCTCTCTCTCTCTCTCTCTCTCTCTCTCTCTCTCTCTCTCTCTCTCTCTCTCTCTCTCTTGCTCTCTTGCTCTCTTGCTCTCTCTCTCTTGCTCTTTCTCTCTCTCTCTCTCTCTCTCTCTCTCTCTCTCTCTCTCTCTCTCTCTCTCTCTCTCTCTCTCTCTCTCTTGCTCTCTCTCTCTCTCTCTCTCCCCTTTCTCTCTCTCTCTCTCTCTCTCTCTCTCTCTCTCTCCCCCCCCTCTCTCTCTCTCTCTCTCTCTCTCTCTCTCTCTCTCTCTCTCTCTCTTGCTCTCTCTCACTCTCTCTCACTCTCTCTCTCTCTCTCTCTCTCTCTCTCTCTCACACACACACTCTCTCTCTCTCTCTCTCTCTCTCTCTCTCTCTCAACACTTGCACCCACTAGCTCACTGTTCTTACTTTCTGTCTGCGTTTGGTTCTCGCTATTTTTTTGGGCAGTGTTTGTGGCGCTTGACACGTATGCTGGACAAGCTCCTGCCCAACTGCCAGTTAGACCGTCTGTTTCTGGACTTGCACAACTTCCTGGTCATGCATCCGTCATCCGTGTGGCGACAGCGGGCTAACAACATCCCACTGCGCTCTATCAAGACCATTATCCATCACATTGCAGAGAAAGTCGGACCCAACGTAAGTCGTGTGTAAAAGTTATGAGACAAGCTGAATCGACATTTGTGTATAGCTTATTCATGCAATGTAAAACGGTGGAGACAATGTGCTATAAAACGATGAAAATAGGAAGTAATAGTGTAGAGAAAAATAAGGATTCAAACAAGTTTTCGTACAACACTCCTCAGGAATCGTCGTTGTACTAAACGACACTGAAACAAAATTGGACTATTATTTTATTGTCTCCTCGCCGTTTGTTTATAGTAAGTTATGAGTTCAAGATATTGTAGTGGGTGTTGATGCAAGTGTTTGGGACGGCTATTGTTCCAGGAATAAGCATAGCTTCATCATACATCAACCCCTTTCCTAGCTTATTCTCTAATGCCGGAGTGAAGCCAACAGAAATGCGAGCTTTCCCCTGAATAGGCGGGGACGGTTTGAAATTGCTCCGCTGTGGCTCTACGTTGCACATCAACCGGAGGACGCCTTTTGATTTTCCAACGCCGAGCCACATCGGAGCAACTTCCCTTCTTCTCTGCATGTGGCCCTGCAGCCCAGTTTATTGTAAATTGTGTACGGTCTCGAACCACAGCAACTCGCTTCAAGTGATCGCTTTTCTATTCAAGCACAGTGCTGTTGTGTGAAGTTTCAGCCGGCTTCTCACACGGGGCTATGCAGCCGCTACGGGTGGTTGGGTCGGTCAGCCTTTGACCAGGCCAATCACATCAAGGTCACTGAGCCGGCGGTGTGGAGACAATAGCATTAGTATAGCTAAGGATATGTATATAGCAGTACTCTTAGGGCGGGGTCAGTACCAATTTTCGTCTGATGATCGATTAAGTTTGTGAAACTCGGAGTTACGAAACCACAACTGCTCGTTCTACTGTCTGTGTAAAGTTAAGGATATTATTAGGGAGGTGGGTGATCCCCGGTATTGAAGTATTTTATATATTGGAGGTGGGTGATCCCCGGTATTGAAGTAAGGGAGGTGGGTGATCCCCGGTATTGAAGTAAGGGAGGTGGGTGATCCCCGGTATTGAAGTAAGGGAGGTGGGTGATCCCCGGTATTGAAGTAAGGGAGGTGGGTGATCCCCGGTATTGAAGTAAGGGAGGTGGGTGATCCCCGGTATTGAAGTAAGGGAGGTGGGTGATCCCCGGTATTGAAGTAAGGGAGGTGGGTGATCCCCGGTATTGAAGTAAGGGAGGTGGGTGATCCCCGGTATTGAAGTAAGGGAGGTGGGTGATCCCCGGTATTGAAGTAAGGGAGGTGGGTGATCCCCGGTATTGAAGTAAGGGAGGTGGGTGATCCCCGGTATTGAAGTAAGGGAGGTGGGTGATCCCCGGTATTGAAGTAAGGGAGGTGGGTGATCCCCGGTATTGAAGTAAGGGAGGTGGGTGATCCCCGGTATTGAAGTAAGGGAGGTGGGTGATCCCCGATATTGAAGTAAGGGAGGTGGGTGATCCCCGGTATTGAAGTAAGGGAGGTGGGTGATCCCCGGTATTGAAGTAAGGGAGGTGGGTGATCCCCGGTATTGAAGTAAGGGAGGTGGGTGATCCCCGGTATTGAAGTAAGGGAGGTGGGTAATCCCCGGTATTGAAGTAAGGGAGGTGGGTGATCCCCGGTATTGAAGTAAGGGAGGTGGGTGATCCCCCGGTATTGAAGTAAGGGAGGTGGGTGATCCCCGGTATTGAAGTAAGGGAGGTGGGTGATCCCCGGTATTGAAGTAAGGGAGGTGGGTGATCCCCGGTATTGAAGTAAGGGAGGTGGGTGATCCCCGGTATTGAAGTAAGGGAGGTGGGTGATCCCCGGTATTGAAGTAAGGGAGGTGGGTGATCCCCGGTATTGAAGTAAGGGAGGTGGGTGATCCCCGGTATTGAAGTAAGGGAGGTGGGTGATCCCTGGTATTGAAGTAAGGGAGGTGGGTGATCCCTGGTATTGAAGTAAGGGAGGTGGGTGATCCCTGGTATTGAAGTAAGGGAGGTGGGTGATCCCTGGTATTGAAGTAAGGGAGGTGGGTGATCCCCGGTATTGAAGTAAGGGAGGTGGGTGATCCCCGGTATTGAAGTAAGGGAGGTGGGTGATCCCCGGTATTGAAGTAAGGGAGGTGGGTGATCCCCCGGTATTGAAGTAAGGGAGGTGGGTGATCCCCGGTATTGAAGTAAGGGAGGTGGGTGATCCCCCGGTATTGAAGTAAGGGAGGTGGGTGATCCCTGGTATTGAAGTAAGGGAGGTGGGTGATCCCTGGTATTGAAGTAAGGGAGGTGGGTGATCCCCGGTATTGAAGTAAGGGAGGTGGGTGATCCCCGGTATTGAAGTAAGGGAGGTGGGTGATCCCCGGTATTGAAGTAAGGGAGGTGGGTGATCCCCCGGTATTGAAGTAAGGGAGGTGGGTGATCCCCCGGTATTGAAGTAAGGGAGGTGGATGATCCCCGGTATTGAAGTAAGGGAGGTGGGTGATCCCCCGGTATTGAAGTAAGGGAGGTGGGTGATCCCCGGTATTGAAGTAAGGGAGGTGGGTGATCCCCGGTATTGAAGTAAGGGAGGTGGGTGATCCCCGGTATTGAAGTAAGGGAGGTGGGTGATCCCCGGTATTGAAGTAAGGGAGGTGGGTGATCCCCGGTGTTGAAGTAAGGGAGGTGGGTGATCCCCGGTGTTGAAGTAAGGGAGGTGGGTGATCCCCGGTATTGAAGTAAGGGAGGTGGGTGATCCCCGGTATTGAAGTAAGGGAGGTGGGTGATCCCCGGTATTGAAGTAAGGGAGGTGGGTGATCCCCGGTATTGAAGTAAGGGAGGTGGGTGATCCCCGGTATTGAAGTAAGGGAGGTGGGTGATCCCCCGGTATTGAAGTAAGGGAGGTGGGTGATCCCCCGGTATTGAAGTAAGGGAGGTGGGTGATCCCCCGGTATTGAAGTAAGGGATGTGGGTGATCCCCGGTATTGAAGTAAGGGAGGTGGGTGATCCCCGGTATTGAAGTAAGGGAGGTGGGTGATCCCCGGTATTGAAGTAAGGGAGGTGGGTGATCCCCGGTATTGAAGTAAGGGAGGTGGGTGATCCCCGGTATTGAAGTAACCTCATTTCATGTACTATAACCAGTCCTGTTTTGTCATCTTCTCCCACTACAGCTGATGAATCATCTAACGCTGGTTGAGAACGTCGGAGAGTCTGAGCTGATGCTGTTCTTGCAGAAGCGCCTCATGTCGTGCGGTGCCACTGCTACTGCTACTTCTACAGTGCCCGACACGGTACCGTCTTCTAGTGTTGCTGGTGGTGGTGATGGTGTTGCAGCAGTGCACAGTCAGAACACGGCACCAACAGGCCTGGCCCAACCGGCGGCGGCGTCCAGTTCAACTATGGTCAGTTTGCTAGCATCACTACTTGTAGCCTGTGTGGATGTGACGGCGTGATGATAATGTCCATGTGGGAGAATCCCGCCGGCTGCTGCTGATCATGGTGTTTGTGACCACCTTCTGCTTGTTTGCTACCGTATTTCCTGGGATCAGAGCCGTGCCGGATACTAGTATCCCCCCCCCCCCCCCCCCACACACACACACATGCACACACACCTCCCGACCTCTTGCAGGTAATACGCCGCATTGCAGTAATTTGTTTGTATTGTTTGTCTGAGGGTGGGTGTGTGCGTGTGTGGGTGTGTGTGCTGGGCGTCTGCATATAGGAAGCACTGACACACAGAACGCAGAATGACAAAAAAATACACGGATGCCATCATCGTCCTTTGAAACACGTCTCAGAACTACCTGGTTGTGAATCGATGGTGATCTGGCTACTCCCTATTTAATGTACTCATCCTGTGTTGGTGTGCCGCTCTCCGTTCATAACAGGGTGCACCCGACAACGGCAATGGCGAGTCTCGCATGCGCGCTCCGCTTCTCTCGTCCTCGCGTGACAACGTCTCCCACTTGCCTGGCTCGATGAGTGCCGCAGCGGTGGCCAGTAAAGCCGACAAACCAGCGCTGTCGTCGTCGGAGTCGTTACTCGCCAGTGCACCTGCCAGTGTAACGACGCCCGTCGTGTCCCTGTCCGCTGCGCCCGGCAGCTCGCGTCACTTCAAGCCGTTATCGTCCAGTGCCCGGCAGCAGCTGGCTAACATTGTGTCGAAGATTGGAGCACGCGAGAACAGCCAACAGGTTGGTGTGTGTACTGCATGCAGGCTTTACAAGGGTGTAGCTAGGGGGGGGGGGGGGGGGGCACGATGGTTTGTATCATCCCCGACACATCCAAAGCGAATGTGTGTATATCCCTTCGGTGGTTTGTATCATCCCCGACACATCCAAAGCGAATGTCCATCTGTATCCTAACGTATGGGCCGCGCTTTGTAGAACGTATGCGCATCTGCCTGCGTGGATTGCTTGCCTTCTGGAGTGTGATTTTGGCCAGCCCTGCCACCCTCTCAAAGGTACTGTGTGTGTGTGTGTCAAGGACCTGCTAGGACCTCTGACATGCTCTGCTCTGTGTATGGATATCCTTGTTCAGCCCCCCCCCCCCCCCCCCCCGCCACCATGTACAGTAGCTGTGTGCAGTCATGGTATGATTCTACATCCGTGTCTGTCCATGTGGTCTTGTCTGCTGCTGCTGTTGTTTCTGCTGCTGCTGCTTCTGGTTCTGCTTCTGGTGCTGCTGCTCAGGGTTTGCAAGAGCTGTATGACTTTGTGCAGAGTCATCCGGACGCTAACATCTCGCCGTTGTTCGACGTGTGCTCACCGGAGTTCCGCAACTTTGTCGAGAAGTCGCTGCGAAACATTGCACGCCAGAGGTCGCGCGAGGCCAAGGCCCCGGCTAGCAGTACGTCGGTGGGCGGCATGCAGGACAACCTGGACTCTCTGCGCTCCTTATTGCCTAGCGGTGGGCGTGCTGCTTCTGGTGAGAGCGCTGGCGCTGTTGCAACCGATGTTCACGCAGAAACTACGGTAAGTGGTGTGCTGTTGGCGGTGGTGCGGTGGTGGTGATGAGGTTAGGAGTCTACCGGTATTTGATGTTTTGCCCGCCCGAGCACAATATACATGATACGTTAGATATGCAGAGGCAAGAGACCTGACTCATAGGATGTATCTGAGTGCTGCATTGACAGGCATGCTTCACTTGCCAATCAGTGAGATGATGATCTGTTGCAAACGGGATCGTTTGCCGAGGACACCTGTAATCGAGCGCGGCTGCGTTGAAATGTGTGCCGTCTGATTGTGAGCAGTATGCCTGTAAATCGCAAGACCTCTTTGCAGTGTGTGCACTTCATTGTGCCTAAACTGGTTTGCTCTGTGCATGCGTGTGCACGAGTGTGTGTGTGTGTGTGTCTCTCTCTCTCTCTCTCTCTTCTCTCTCTCTCTATCTCTCTCTATCTCTCTCTCTCTCTCTCTCTCTCTCTCTCTCTCTCTCTCTCTCTCTCTCTCTTTCACTCCGTTGCCTGGCATATGGGCCAATGTCACAACACAGATACCATCTTCTACTGACGCCACCCTAGCTTCAGGCAATACATTGGCAGCAGCCAAGTCTAACCAAGACACGCTGGAAAGCTTCCGACGTCGACTGGACCGCATCCGGGAACCATCACCGTCATGATCCGCCTCATACTAACGTCTACCTCTATCCTCTATGACATCGTGATGATGTCATATCTAATTATGATGATGTCCTATCTCTTCTTCTGCTTGCTGTTTCTCATGAGTATCCAATAGTTTGCTAGTGTCCAGTGCAGTTTGCATCTTGGATCGTTCGTCATGCACTTTAGACATAACCGCTCTCACTGCATATGACGTCATAGTGCTCGGATATCCTTTTCAATACTCCCCCCCCCCCCCCCCCCCTCTCTCTCTCTCTATGCTACACGAAGCTCCGTGTGTTTCATGCCGGTTTTTACTCTTATTTTATGCATCCTTTTTTATGCAACCTTGCTTCTTCTTCTTTGTGGTTGCCAATGAGTTGTGGATCCTTTTGCTCAGCTAGTTCTAGCATATTGTGTCCTCTTTCTTTCTTTTTTGCACGGCGGTACTAACATCTATCAATGCTCCTTGCTCCCACCTTGCCCGCTGTGCATGCCAAATCACCGTGCGGCCGAGTCTCGTTCCTTCTGTCTGTCCAAGTCCAGTCTTCTTCGGTGCACAGGCACCTTCCACTCTCCTTTCTTTCATGGACATGAGATTCTCATCTTCCATTACGGCACCAGATGTGTCAAGAGCGAACTCTTGCATAACCAAAGTAATTGTACTATTCTTCACGAAATGAAATTGCATCGATTTTTGTCTGGATTCTATTCTTATTGTTAGCCCTGGACGCGTTTCTTTCCGCCTGCGACCGCTCGTATCTCCTATTTGTTGTGTGTCAGTTTCTGTATTAAACTATCCTAGTATCCTTGTTGCTCCATTCCTCTTTTTGTGCCCCATCGTACGGTGGGAACAAATATCTGCATGACACGCGCGGTCACTACCGAAATGAGCGATTCCCTGGGAAAGCCGTCACAACAATACCGAGAATACCAAGAGTACAACAAAACCCATTGGCTGGGGGAAACCCCTGGGCTAGGGGTCATGTACTCTTGCCAGTCTTGGTGTTACATGACTGTACAGAGTAGATGTACGTCACGTGTCTACCCTCCTTGGTACACATTCGGCTACAAAACAACCCTCAGAATGGACAGCGATACAATTAATCCCCTGATGGAACGTCCCGGCTCGTCTACTAATGAGGGCAGGCTTGAAGCTACACTTTGTAGGCAGGCACAACCTAATGATTATACAGTGTAGGTGTGAACTGATAACAACCTACAGGATGGGTGAAACCAGAAGGGGAAGAGTGAGAGACAGCGATCGTTTTGCTCTACTGCAACTAAACTGTGCATGGTAGAATGGGACAAAGAGTACGATATGGTAGAATGGAGACGAAGAGTACGAGAGCGTGGACAAAGAAGAGGCCGCTGCGCAGAGCCAGATCTACCAATTTCGTCGGATTATGGATGCAAACTTGCAAAGTCCATATACATGACATTGTATACGTAGCACCAAGAGTACATAACCCCCCAGAGTGTGCAACGCCGATCCAGCTCTGTGTAGGGTCTTGGTCGAGCGGAATCGGATCTTCTGATGTCATGCGTACACTTCACACCAGCGCAAGGCCGGTCTCGAGGCAGGGCACCATTGTTTTTGATCCAAGAGTACCCGCGACTCCCCGGGTTCCCCTCAGATGTGTACGGTATTATGACGCAAAGATCCGATTCCGCTCGACCAAGACCCTATGCAGAGCTGGATCAGGCGTTGCACACTCTGGGGGGTTATGTACTCTTGGTAGCACCTATCTTGGCAATTAACATAATTATACACATCATTGTACATGATGACGATGATGATGATGAGACAGATTGACAGAGCCTGCCCACCATCCCGATTTGACCAGGACCGTCCGTCCCGATACGTTATCCAGGATGGTAATAGGCACAATAGGCACAATAGGCACCCAAAAGAGTATTTTGTCGCACGCCTCACAGCTACGTTGGTATACATGTTCACACCTACACGTACACCTACACCTACACCTACACGTACGTACTGTATGGTAACAATACAATGTACATAGGGTACCCTGTAAAAAGGCCTTCGGCCTGTGGGGATTGCCCTATTCAAAATTTAAATAATAATAATAATAATGTACAGTGCTGGCAACTGAAATCCGACCCCCCCCCCCCCTGGCGTCTCGTACGAATCGCTACCGCGGCTAGCGCACCGCTAGGGGGTCGGATTTCAGTTGCCAGCACTGTAGGCTACATAGTGTACTCGTAGGCACATGTAACTGTTGTCGCGATCTCAGGTTTGTAAAGGTGAATAATTATTGGCACTGGGTATCAGGGAGTAGTACAATAATGGTGTACTACTACTAGTGCTCCCTGGCGGCCGGTATGCTGATGTCATCGTCATCATGAGACATCAGCCATTCAGCCGTGATCAGATGTAGGCTCATCATGTAGCCTGTAACGGACGAGGCAAGTGAGATGGTATGTAAGTGCACTGAAATCTACCACCCCAAATGCATGCCGTTGCCAGCTATGTCCAGCCAGGCCTAGCCATCAATGCATCATGCAGCTATAGCGGTGCTGTGGGTGAAGCGCTCCCCAGTCGGCGACCAGTGACAGGCTGCAAGCGAGGCGTAATGGCTACATCAGTAGTGACCTTCCTCAAGAGGCAGCCTCTAGCCTCTAGCCTCTAGCCTCTAGCCTCTAGCCTCTAGCATCTCTCATCTCGTTGTGCCGTACAGATGGAAAGCAACACCCCGAGACCTATGGACATATCTCTATTTTAGTCTCGACTAGGCTTTCGCGGATAATGCCGGCAGAAAAATTGGCAGCATTCGGTACTTTTTCTGGTAAGTTTCATGCATGTTTGGCATGTGGATAAAGAAATGGAGCAGAATTCGAGGAATTGCCCGCCATAAGGTTTGTATGGCTGTCAAAAGGCCGTAGGCCTGTGGGGATTGCCCTATCAAAATTTAATAAGAATATACTAAGAATAATAATTATGGTTCTGCCAGTTTCACTGCTTTTCGAGCAGAATCTGCCACCTTTTTCGAGCATTATCCGCCAATGCCTAATTTTTACATACCTAAAATTTAAAGAGTCGGCGTGGAGAAAGCAATTTTATTAGTGCAATTAGGAGTATAATCGATGCAGACATGGCCAGACAACAACGAGTTCATGGAATTTTTAAGGATTTTTATGTTATTCAAAATCGATTTTCGTGTTCCGCTCATCAGTGAATAGTATCGGAACTGAGGGTACTGTGTACAACAATAGAACATTTTATAACAGCATAATTAATTAAAAGTGTGAACAACAAAGGAAGTGCTACAGCATTACATAATAGGTGTCAAACATAGTGCTAACGTATATAACTGAGTGCAGCCACAAAGCAATAGGTGATACAGTGCAACATGACACAACATTTACATCTGATAACCAGCTACGAGAACAACTTTAGCGCGACTACATGCTTCTTTTGTTTACAAAGAACAGGATTATGCACACGAATACATACAGCTTCCAGAACCTTCAACTGCTTAACATAACTTGCACGGCACAAAACAGAAAAGTGAGAATCATCGTACACACCAAGACAATCTGGACGTGATAACAAGTGACAAAATACAGCTGACTTTTTGCTCACGTCGCTCTCTTCCGTCTCATCCCGCTCCCTTCCTTCGACCTCCTCCGCCTTATCCTCGTCCTCCGTCTCATCTTCATCATCATCGTCCTCATCACCACCATCATCATCATCGGTCACTTCCTCATCATCCGTTTGATGCTCAGTCTCACTGCACTCCTTATCAGCCTCCAACATGGCTCCATCATCTCCAACAGCATCACAAGTCGTTTGACCGCTGCTCCGCGTCACCGTTGCTGGGTTCTCTGCTACTGCACACCCATTTCCACTGTCCATTTTGCGTGGGCCAAGTCCATTCCGTGCATAAATTTCAAGTGAATAGTTTGCTGTGCTTCTTCTGGGTCTATGGGTGAGGATATTGGTTTCATTTTGGTTTGTCGATGATCTCCCTCTCTGTCCAGACACAGTCGGTACCGTGGATCCCAGCACCGGGGGGACCACCGTCTCGGTAGTCACCAAAGGTAAAGGGGGTGGCTCAGGCGGAGGCAAGGGCAACTGCCGAGGTGAAGGTTCAGTGTGTCTCGGTGGCCCCTCCTCCATTCCAGGACGATGATGTTGTGCTAGAGTAGGCTCCGCTGCCGTTTGCAGTGGGTCGAGAAGTGGTGGCCAGGTCAATGATGGCACACCCACCCCAGCCCCAGCCACCCACGGCACCCCAGGTGGTGGGGCCGGTGGTGGCACGGGAACAGGCGGCGCTGTCGGCACAGCGTGTTTGTCTACTGAGCTAACTGGGTTCTTACACGGTCTACCACGCTTTGGCCTCTTTGCTCTGGCTGCTGGTGGTAATAAGTGCAACGGCACATGTTGTCTGATACGTGCGTTCAGGTGTTGAAGAGTCCTACCAACGTACCGGGCAGCACAATTCCGGCACTCAAAGAGATAAACCGACTGTGTCTGGACAGAGAGGGAGATCATCGACAAACCAAAATGAAACCAATATCCTCACCCATAGACCCAGAAGAAGCACAGCAAACTATTCACTTGAAATTTATGCACGGAATGGACTTGGCCCACGCAAAATGGACAGTGGAAATGGGTGTGCAGTAGCAGAGAACCCAGCAACGGTGACGCGGAGCAGCGGTCAAACGACTTGTGATGCTGTTGGAGATGATGGAGCCATGTTGGAGGCTGATAAGGAGTGCAGTGAGACTGAGCATCAAACGGATGATGAGGAAGTGACCGATGATGATGATGGTGGTGATGAGGACGATGATGATGAAGATGAGACGGAGGACGAGGATAAGGCGGAGGAGGTCGAAGGAAGGGAGCGGGATGAGACGGAAGAGAGCGACGTGAGCAAAAAGTCAGCTGTATTTTGTCACTTGTTATCACGTCCAGATTGTCTTGGTGTGTACGATGATTCTCACTTTTCTGTTTTGTGCCGTGCAAGTTATGTTAAGCAGTTGAAGGTTCTGGAAGCTGTATGTATTCGTGTGCATAATCCTGTTCTTTGTAAACAAAAGAAGCATGTAGTCGCGCTAAAGTTGTTCTCGTAGCTGGTTATCAGATGTAAATGTTGTGTCATGTTGCACTGTATCACCTATTGCTTTGTGGCTGCACTCAGTTATATACGTTAGCACTATGTTTGACACCTATTATGTAATGCTGTAGCACTTCCTTTGTTGTTCACACTTTTAATTAATTATGCTGTTATAAAATGTTCTATTGTTGTACACAGTACCCTCAGTTCCGATACTATTCACTGATGAGCGGAACACGAAAATCGATTTTGAATAACATAAAAATCCTTAAAAATTCCATGAACTCGTTGTTGTCTGGCCATGTCTGCATCGATTATACTCCTAATTGCACTAATACCTAAAATTACATGTTTTACAGTTCCGTTTTGATCATTTGGGAGTGGAGTATTAATTGTGAGGGTGGGGAGTCTGGGTATGTAAAAATGTCGGTACCGGGGACCTGCCAGGTTTCAGGTGTAAAAATAGTGTAGAATTACAGTAGGTGACCAGCATTCCCTTCACATACAGTGCCAGCTGTGCATACTCTGGAGTTTCTGGTGCCTTTTTAAGCGTGATCAAAATTATTTTAGGTGCTTGTCTTCACTACCGAAACCACCGAAATTAAAGTTTAATAACTTTATACAAATATCGTGTTTACAGTAAAAATTCATGCACAGCTTATTATCATTATTTTATTTATTTTACTAGGGTGTTTCCCAAGCTGGTACACTCGTTTTGAATTTTGTAT